TATCACATTTTCCCTATAGATAAATTCCTATTCCTTTCCACAATAGTTCTACACTTTCCAAGTCAGGTCTGTTGTGACCCCTAGTGTGTGCTCAACGTTGAATCCTTAACGGTCAGGTAATATTCACACATGTTTCTGGTTCATTCGTTAGGAGCACCAATTCTGATGTGCTGGTTCCTGGCCGTTTGCCCTGTAAAAGAGTTCATACAGTCGTTGCGTGTTATTCTGTATGCGCAGTCCTTTGTTTTACCTATCGGACTTGGGTTCCCTAATTATGCCAATTCCAAGTACGAGATTTCCGGAATTTTGAGAAGTCTGGAATTCTATGGAACCATTTCAAAATTTTGGGAGGATTCAGCACAGTTGTTAGAGTGGCCGATTGGTTTACTTGTTTTAGCCTGACTGCCGAGTTGGTTAGAAGTTCAAGGTGGACATTTCTAATAGTTCACGGTCTTTGGATAAAAATCGTTCAGCTGTAGCACACTTTCAGTGCCTAACTGCCATGCCACATGAAGCAGGCACGAGGGCTGGGATATTGCTAGGTAGCCCAAGCCTAGACAGACCATCGCCAGCCATCTTGCCCCCCGGCGAGATGCATTACATCTAACAGACCCGAGTCCGCGCTAAAATGCATGAGATAAGTTTGGCACTAAAAATTCCCTGACATTTGGGTAGCATAAGACTCCCACGACCGCTGGAATCCACTTTTGATGTGGCCAGTCCGGTGACTTCTTTATTATCTGACTACTAGTGAATAGTCAAATAAATGTACTGCATGAGAATGTGACAAATTTTAGGCGATAATCATGAACTGGTTTAGGGTAAGTTCTAGACTAACCATTAGTGATTGTTGATTGCGGGTCCCCTAATTGAGACAGAAGCCAGTCCAGTGCCACTTTTATGTTTTGCGACTGTGTACTCCCATAATTCATCGGTTTGAGTTACTCGGTTGCAGTGAATCTGATAGCTGGCTGTTCGCCTCTTTGGATCAGTATCCTACGTAGTCCCACGCATATGTTGGATTCAATTATGGCTCATTCCAACCTAGGGATGTCCCTGAACATCGACTCGGCAGCAAAAAAGTCAATTTGGAGCGAGCTTCAATGCTTTGTTTTCAACAGCTGAGTGGACAAATAAATTATTTCAGTCCATTTTAAAAGGGGCTTAGGCAACAAGGAAAGCAAACAAACAATTTCAGTATCTTAACTGCTTACACGAAACTGTCATTAGCCCACCAACTGATGCTTGCTCCGTTACAATTAATCAAGTGATTAGGGTTGTGTATCGTACGACAGCAAGCGTGAGCACACAGTGGATATCTCATTAAGGTTGTGGGGGTGTCAATTCATGTGTAACGCAAACATCGTGTGACTTTTTGGAAATGGTGATTTACGAGCTGTTTTTCCCTACGCCACTTGGGGGAGTATTGCGCTTCACTGAAATTTGGTTTATGAACGCTAACAAACAACTGAATTCATGCGTGAGTGCGGTTGGCAATTTCCGCCGTTGGAAGCTGATTCAGTTCGAGCTTGTGGAACAATGGTGGTAATATCACCTATCCTTTTGTCCGGGAGTAAAACGTTTTTAGGCATACGTGTATTTATTCACCCGGGAATACTCAGCCGGTTTACTCATTCAGATCTCACACCTGAGTGCATTCTATTATCAAGTCATTAGCTGCTACTAGTGGAAGGAAGGCCTTTGCTATGGAGTTACTTATTAGAAAATTCCAACGGACCAGTCACAGACTATTGGACAGGGAAGCAAAACTCTAATTTGCATCTTATTTCTAAAAACTGGACATCCATCTTTCCCTGAGCGCGTCTTCTGGGACTTTCCTGGATATTCATTGACTCCAATCATTCATTGCTCAAATCCGAGCAAATGCTACAAAGCGACTCCACGAATTCCGCTACAGATCTCCCTTTTCAAGAGACGCCAAGCGGATTTACAAGAACATAACATACTACTCGCATGCCTCACCATCAGTAGTATCACCGTTACATTAGTTTGGTTGGTACTATCAACTATTACTAATGCACCCTATATGGGAGCATTCGATGTACATTTATCGTAAAGACGCAAAATACATCGTAAAGGGCGGTATTACACGGTCGCAATAGGGGAATCAGCATTATCAACCACTTCGGCTTTCTAAACACTGAAATTAAATCGAAGTAAACAGTTGTACTGGGTTTGGAAACCGAAAAATCGTCGAACGAAAGAATGATAACAGAACAGTCAGTCAACTTATTCACATATTGCGTTTTTATCGGCGACATTAGTCTCTGTTCTTTATGGATTATTTTGGCTTGGGATCCTCATCTAATACTTGGGTTTTGTCCACTTGACAAATCCGAATGGGAATTAGATTCCAAAGTGACTAAAAGGACCTCCCAAATTTAGTCATGCTAAACCACAAGTCTGGTTTGTGCAAACAGACACAGACACATTACCGTCCAGACATCCGGATTTCCAATCTACCGTCTGTAGGCATTGTTGCCGTGGTCGTAAACATCACGACAATTACACACTGCGTAGAACTGAAGGGGTATATTCTTTCATGCAGACCGCTTCAGAACAAAACCCATCTCCAATACCTATCGGCGATCGAGGTGGACTATTTCAATCACCAATTGAGCTTCTCATTTCATGCATCTCTCGCAAATAACAGATGAGGTGCGTTAGCGCTTATTCATATCTTCTGTAAATCAGGTAACCTCTGTAGATGCCGAGTCAACAGAAGTTCCCAGTGAGTTACATGGGAAAATTACTCATCCGGGCTAAAAGACTCGCCGAAAGCAATCCTTCAGGTGTTGGTGACAAACTGTGAAAGCTCATTGTTCCATGCATACAACCGAATGCAGTTTCTCACCATCTCTCGGAAAAGGGAGCAGCAGATCAATGTTACAGACATCTGCCTCTTGCTGATGAAACTGTCGCCCATCCACAGTGCTCAAAATTTTCACAATATTCTCCTGACAGACGGTGGGACTCAGGCTAGCGGAATATCCGAAGGTTCTGACAAATACCGGAGCAAGCCATCGCCGCCCATACTTTGGGCATCCGGTAATTGAGGTCAATGTGTGCGGTCAATAAACTTGTTGCACTTGTCCTATGGATGGGACATCAATTCCCTGAGGCACTGACCACGACTAACATACAGCTCAAAATAATTGACATAGATATTCTCCCGCGTTTCGGCCTCAGCGCTGACTCTGAAAAATGAAAAACACTGTTGATTACACCAACCCGGTGGGAATTTCACCGGATGTGCCACAACAAACTGAGTTAGTTTCACTACCTGAGAGGCATTCGCAGTTGGTCAACGATGCGTGGATTTTCCCTGAATAAAGACTAACGTTATTGATCAGTTAACTATCAAAAGCCTCATTTCTTCTCCAGACCAGGACGTTAGCCTCCAAAAATCCCAAACTACACAAAACGGAATTCAACGTCATGGTCCAAATAGGAGCTATTCCTCTGCGCAATAGATATTTGCATCCCCATTTGCATCTCGCCTCCAAAAAAAACAAGGTTCACTAATGACCTTGTGGTGATCAGCCTGCCACCCAAAACATCACAGTTTCAACCGTCACAAAGCCACTCATATGTTTCCTCCCTCTCGCTACACGGAAACCGTATCTTTTTGAAAGTCGTTTCACTACACATCCATAATCAAACTTCCGCGATGCCTGATGACGCACCGTAAACCGCGGTGGCTGCTTCATGTTCGACTACTGGCACCATTTACTCCGGATTTAGATGTCCGCTTGATCTCCCCAACTCATTCATCCCAATCTGCATTTAATGCCGTTCTCCAGCGAACCCAAGGAACTGAACACAAACCACTGGCCTTTCATTCCCTCCCTGCTGCCCGTATAAATCAGCTACGGAAAGTTTGGGAGTGAGGTATTGGCCATCTAACTGTAAATCATTCTCACCATCTTTTGAAAGGCAGATCCTAGTTGTTCACAGGCCTCTTTTTTTCGCCTTCATCTCTAAATAACAAAATCTACTCCCTGCCGAAATATGACAACTTTCTTTCACAGCGAACACTGGGTGTAGTTATGACCTATTAACATTGTTCCGCGTAACATTTACACCGTCATCGTTCTTGTGCTGTCTGTTGAGGTTCCCGATACGGAACTTGGAGTGATGCGTAGGTTCGACAATCTCGAATATCAAAAGGAAGGATTGGGTTCGTAATACTACGGTACTATTTACACAAGGGTAAGCAAATGTATACAACAAACCTCAATTGTTCACGTTCGTAGCGTCAACAAGTCCACAGGCCTGTCACTGACCGGCACAGTGCAGTGTCAACGTCCGCACACCAAACAACGGCGTGCGGAATGATGTCTCAGTGGCGTGGCTGGCGGTCGTTCCTTCGGACGACGGTCTCGTGGTTCTCATTGGAAGTGCGATCACGCGGAACCCATGAGAAAATAAGTCAAGGCAGGTTCAGTAAACGGGACATGAACGTAAATGGGTAAGTAGGTCAGGAGTGCACATTTACACACAGACACACGTCAATACACAAGTGTCAGAAAGGACGGCCTCTGCGGCAAAGTGAGTGGCGGGTACGAATAAGCGAAACAACTGGAGATCAAAAGTAGTTAGGTGGAGTAAACAAACGAATGGGGGAATTATCCTAAGGTTAAGTTCGACTTAACACTGTCGATCTAAACATCTTCACTCGTGGCGACTGAAACATGAGGCGGCCTGGTGCAGCACATTCATTTGCCTGAGAACATCATCAAAACACGAGAGATTCAGCTGGGTTCCAGGTGAGTCTCTCGAAAGAACCAAATTAGTTTGCAGATGAGTGTATATCCGCTAATTTCGTGCAATTTGGTTTCAAGTAGAACATAAGGTTGACGGAAACCCGGGGACTGCGCCTACCTGATGAGCCCCAAGAAGGGCGAAACCGGTCGTGGGCTGTCGGCGGATTTTCAGCAACCTTATGAGTAGTACAGTGCTCTTTTATTCTTTAACAGTTCAGTTCGGTCTTGCATTCTTCTGCTCCTGACTGGCACTTCAATGCTAACTCGGTATGTGTCGAGAGGAAATCCACGCCTCAATGTTATTACGAAATTTGTAGAAGTATCTAACTATCGCTCCTAATTTCATCCAGTTGTTTGTGTGGCAACAAATTTAACCATTGTTTTATGGAGGTGGATCCAATCTATGCTGAAAGGCTCAAAAGAACTGTAGAGCTGTTGCATCTACGGTGCATATTTCACGACGGAATTCGGAGCCTCCGACCTCCGGCCACGAGCGCCTGATTCGAATGACTCACAATTAGAAGTTAAATAGCATCTTTCATCACTCAGTACCATTACACTCCCATCACAGTGCCACATGGGGGCTGACTCCCGGAGTGATGACTTCTCAGGTGGTTTATTCAATGTGCACCTCAGTTCACTACTAACGAGGAATTGGCGGATTCAGGATTACACGAGTTTTTTTAGATGCTCGGTGCTGATAATTCCTAACCACAGATTATTTATTGGCTTTAAGATATTCGTTCATGGGTGTAACATTTTGTCATTCTGACCTTGTCGTTATGGTTCGGCTTCGGTATAGCAATGATTCTACAGGAGTTACTGGCTTGGGCTCATATCATAAAGTTACAATCATGCCGGGGAACACACAGCAACCCAACGACAGCAAATCCCCATGCTTTGAGAATTCGTATTACAAGGTAAAGCTCTATTGTACTCAGTGATAGGAGTGTGAGGGGCATAAGGTGTTTCTTTCAGGCAACTAGCGTATCCATACCTGTGGAAGCAGTAATGCTGTCTTTCTCCATGGGAGGGCAGGCATGAAAAGGCTAGCCATAAGCACTGCACACTCCGATTACCCAAGGTTTGTCTGTGATTGTCGTTGTAGTATTCATTATAGAGATACTTTTTGTACTAACAATTCTGGTGGTTCTCAGAAGACACCTATTGTGCGCAGTCGCATTAGGAGTCATTTAGTTACGCCAGTTAATCTTTTTGTCTTTAAAGGATCTGTTTTAATCGATGCTTTCAGCCCTGCAATAAGTGTCAAATTGGGCAACTGGTGATTCTTGGTCACGCCTTGTCCTTCCTTTCAACTGATACATGTTTTACTTCGAAAACACCAAAAAAAATCCAAGTCCGTTGATTCGTCTCAAACCGCTCGATAGCAACCTTAGATTGTTCCACAATTCAGTCTTACGGTGTCTGATATTCCTGGTGCAGTGAGTCTCGGTGTCCACGGACGTGGTACTCGATCACACCCTCAGGGCTGAATATACTATATTTAAGGGAATTCCCATATCCACTCTTTTGTGCTGTTCGGCCGACTGAATTAACCAAAATTAATGCACATCAGCGAGATGAATGGTTTTTATCTGTGCTACTTGCATACTCATCGAATGACGGAAGCTCCCAGTCATAGAAAAGCAATTTTAGTGGAATTCGACTGGGTCAGTGAGAATTGCAGATATGGTAATTCTGGCAGGTGGGGCGACTACAATCTGGTGAAGCCCACCCTGGCTCCAAGCACCTTTTTCAGATGTGTACCGGAGGTCATTCGTTTAGGGCCAGCGCAAACTTTTATCACGAGCAGCCACACCCAGTGATTTAGATAACACAAACTGGAAGCTAGTCCTGGACATGGTTGAAACATGTGGAAGTCAGCAACTGGTGAAAAAGTTTGTCACAAGACAGTCGTCCGTTTTGAACTAAAGAACTTGACTCTGGTCGCACTATTGTGTAAGCAAAAGTATCAACTCGCCTTCTCTCTGGTAAAGGCCAGTTGATGCAAAGTCATTCAGTTTATCGCCTGCAATGCGTCCCCACAACTCAACAATTTTGAATATATTTGCCTCAGAAGGTTTCACTTCTCGACCGCAGATTTGGATTGCAAGTGGTGAAAGATGCAGGATGTCTGTCTTAAAAATCTCTGGATGTTAGTGGAATGTGCACTGCGAATGATTCCCAATAGGAATGAATGGACTTCAAAGTGCTTCCTTGCTTTGCTTCGTGGAATGACTTCACTTACATGAAGAAATCACGGTTAGAATTTTTAAACGGCATAGTGAAGCAATCTGGCTTTAAAGCATTTCTCCTGGATTTCACCAGACTTTATGGGATCGAATTTGTTTTGCACAGACACACGTTCTCACGTATATCGGCTTGTTTTGAGGACATTACGAAAAATGGTGTAATTCGCCACACGGATACGAATTGTGGTTGGAACAACTTCATAGCACCTAGCGATGAAATTTTGGACATCACTAAGTACATAAATCAAGGTAAAACGAGTCTGATAAGATTTAAAGTACTTACAAAGTAAAATATCGCTTCGTCCTGCCCAGTTAAAACGGTTTGCCTTATTTGCTCGGACTCGGTACTACCATCTGATAACACCTGCGAGCACGTAGCACGTGTCAACCTGCGAACTAACCGATCATTTAGGACCAAATTATTGGACATAATGCAATTTCAGATGATTATCACTCACTGTCTGTCTCAAGTACTACAGAACGTAACTCATGAGAACAGAGAAGTAGGCGCAATGACTACTTTGGCTATAAAAGGAAAGTTCAGTTTATATCCCAATCGGCATTTAGTACAGGGAATACTTAACGGGCGGAGACGAATGTCGGTTTCTTCGTAAAAAGATATAATGGTTTACAATTTGGGGACTGTCACAAAGGCGCAGATAAACACATGTTACAGAAGCACTGAGTGATGTTGAAAACAATGTCAGCTTTTCGAAAAGCACACTCATTTGCAAATTAATATTATTTTCACGGGTGACTCAAGTGAATCTCTCGTTTATGATGTTCTTCAACTGAATGTGCTGCACACAGGCCGCTTTATGCTTCAGTTGGTAAGATATTCTAGATAGTGCAGTATTTTTCCATAAAGGAAACTACTAACAATATGAGCTCAGGTAGAACATACGGTTGACGGAATCTCGAGGACTGCACCTGCCTGATGAACCCCAAGAACGGGCAAAACCGGTCGTAGGCTGTCAAAGATTTTTCAGCAACCTTGTGAGTAGTTTCCTTTAAGGAAATGTAAGCTTATGTTCAACACAAACTTGAAGCTCATTCTCGACATCAGACACTTTCAGTTTGTTGCACACTCAGCGCAGTGCAGCATGGATTTGACGTTACTATGAATACACTCAGACGTTCCTTTTCGATAAATATTTCAACTCATTCCATATTCCATGACACTTGTTTTTTAGAAAAAAGGAGACTATCCATTGCACTACTTTCTGGTCGCATTCAGTTGAACGCTAGTAGGCGTTGGTCCTTATACTGGGAAGCAGAATTCCATTTGAATAGCAATAAGCTATACATCCTCATTTGCGCAAAAGGTCAAGAAGGATTGGTACTTTGTAAACGGAAATGTCCAAAACGCGACTAAATTGCTTCTACGACTCGAAACCACTGTTTTGGGTTTACGCTGAACAGTATTTATCTATTCATGTCGATTTATTTGTCTCGTGGAGATCACAAACACAGTTGGAAGGTGGGAAAATTGTGCCCCTCCAAGAGGATATATTCCAACACAAGTCGGAAAACTGTAAACCGACACGGCGTGATTGTGTCCACAAAAGAAGTAGTATAAACGAACACCAAGTAGGAATGATCAGCCAGTGAACCCTCTAAGCATATTCAGGTAAAATATTTGCGGGTACATATCGCCTGTGAAGCGAACCAATCACTGTTCACAGCCGATCAACAAAGTGAAAACGAAGATTTTTAGAAGGATCTTAGCCTGATTTACAACATTCCTTGTTCGATGAACTCACAATTAGAATGAAAGGCCTCTAAGTAAGTCAATACTAAATGTAAGGCTTCTACTTATAAAATATTTTTCCAATGTTTTGAGCAATGAACGTAGGCTTTGTTTCACATTGCCCAGCTGAGCTCTTATGGTGTCGCCGGGTTCTGGGCAAAAATGTTTGTCAAACTTGGCAATCGGATACACAGCCACCGAGTCAGCAACCAACAATCAGCGTCCTTGGAACAGTCACAGACAGTTTTCCTGTGCTTAACCAGACTGTAGGATTTGGTTAGAAATTCACAGTGGTCGTTTCTAATACCGATTCTGGTCAAGACAGTAACTTTTCAGTTAAAGCTTTCGTGGTGTTGGGGTTCGAGTCCCACTCGGTCGATAACATCAAATCTTGTACATAAACGGCTGAGACTGTTCGTGTTCTTTGACAATTTCGGCGACCCCATTACCAATCTGACTCTTTGTGTCAGATACACGTGATTTTTCACTCATTGCGTGAGCGTGTGGTGGCTTTACATGATAGTCTCAAAGTCAGTGAAGTGATTACTGATTTTTTCATGGCCAGTCACCTCACATTTTTCAGTGTACATCTCACTGTCAGCTGCTGCTTGCAATCTGTAAGTTGACCCGTGCGATTTTTCTCTGTTTTGCGCCTATATAATATGCTCAATCACATATCTTGACGGGCACTTGAGCAACTCAAATCTTGTCCTTCGCTGTTGGCGAGTTTTGTACAATGTAATCCAAAGTAGTCTAATAGCATAAATGCCGTTCTGTCGAGAGGCTGATTCGGCCGCACTGCAATATAATAAAAGCAAAACCTTGTTGTTCGCGTACACCTCTTGTTTACAGCGGATAAATACACCAGTGAATTACTACTTCAAACGACTTCCTCTTCATTCTATTCTAGTTTGACCAACATAAACGTGTGGGGAAGACAGAACTGAAGTTGTTTTTGCTTTTTTACAGGTTTGGGAAAACATCCAGCAATTTGACTACACGAATTCATAAATCATTCCATGGGACCGCTGGTTTGTGAGGAATCAGGTGTGAGCACACACCTCAGTGTCTTTGTATGGTGCCAGTTGGTGCGCAATGACCACATCAAATAACCCTCTGAAAATAATGGTTCATGAATAGATTGGTTTAAAGCAATGTTTTGGCAGCGCCATCTGGGAACAGTGTTGCTCTTTAGTGAGACAACTTATTCACAAGTCAGGTGATCTGTATTCTAGTGAAAAATAACAGCTGAGACATTACATACT